AAATTCTTCAAGGGGCTGAACAAAGGTACCAAAAAGTTGAGGTTTTGGCATTAGCCCTAATCATAGCAACACGAAGATTGAGGCCTTATTTCTTAAGTCACCAAGTAGTTATTAAAATTAACTACTTTATTGCTAAAATTTTAAGGAAACCCGAGTTGGTTGAGTGCATGATAGCGTAGTTAGTTGAGTTGATCGAGTTTGATCTTATTTATCAACCACGAGGATCGATTCATGCATAATGTTTAGCATACATTCTCACTAAGATAATTGGGGAGACTACAAGGGTATGCTAGACATTGTTTGTTGATGACTCATCCAATAAATGAGGTAGCAAGGCTAGAATACTCCTTGAAGGACTGGGGAATTTGGTGAGTGATCAATCCCTGCAATTTGACTTCAAAACTTTGAATAACCAAGCCGAGTGTGAGGCTCTTATTATCGGGATCAAATTTGCCTTAGAAATAGGAGTTGAGCATCAACTATGTAAATTTGATTCTTAGCTTGTGGCCAAATAACTAAAAGGAGAGTAATAAATAAAGAATGTCAATCTTTTGAAATATTACCATGTTATTAGCACTTTGAAGGCAAGATTTTCAGAATTTCAAGTAGAACACATCCTTAAGGTAGCTAACACTCATGTCAATGTGTTGCAAAATTGGCAAGTACTCAACGACCTAGATAACACAAAACGATTGTCAAACAAATTTTGAAAGAGCCCTAACATTTTTGAAAATGATTGTATGAAAATTAGGGAAGAAGAAGGAAATTGGATGACACCTATTGTCCAATATCTACAAAATGAACATTTGCCGAAGGTTCCCTTGGTGTCTAAGAAAATTAAATTACAAGCGAAAAAGTTTTGTATCATAGGTTATGAGCTCTTTAAAAGGGTATTCTTGACTCTTTTGCTTAAATGTATCACTAAGTCATAAGCTGAATATGTTCTGGAAGAACTTCATCACGAGATAAAGTGGCATGCATATTGGTGGAAGGAGTATGGTGACCTGAATCCTTCGAGCCAGGTAATATTGACCGACTATATAACAAGATGCAATTTAGTATATGAATAAATGTATTCCATGTCAACAACACGAAAGCCTCATACATACCAATCCAACATCTCTTCATTTGATAGTTTCTCCATGGCCATTTTTCATGTGGGGTATTGGCATTTTGGGACCCTTTCCTCTAGCTAAAGGGCAATGAAATTTTTTTATTGATAGCAACATACTACTTTATTAAATGGATTGAAGCTGAACCCTTAGCACGAATCACGACTACAAAGGTGCAACATTTTATTTAGAAGAATCTCATTTGTTAATTTGGAGTTCCAAAAGCCATCTTGATTGATAATGCTAGACAATTCATAAATAGGAGTATTGTTACATTTTTGGAAGGACTCTAGATTAAGCATCATGTATCTTCGGTCGAGCATTCCCACACGTTAAGCCAAAATGGCGAATAAAGTTATATTGGGAGAATTGAAAAAGAGGCTAGGTCAAGGAAAAGGAAAGTGGATTGAGGAGTTCCTTTTTGGTACGCCACATTCCACTACACGGGAAACTCCTTTTTGGTTGGCTTATGGTATTGATGCCATGTTACCAGTGGAAATTGGTGAAGCCTCTCCTTGATGGATCTTGTACCAAGAGGATGATGGTTCCTTTAATCGTGTTGAACTTGACTTAGTGGACATTATTCGAGACCGAGCTCAGATTCAACATGAAACATCTCACCACAGTGCAACTCGTTGATATGCAACTCGACTTATCAAGAGAGAGTTTCAAGAAGGAGATTTAGTTTGGAGAGTATAGGGGGAAGCAAGGAAGGAGATTTAGTTTGTCATGGTTGGTGAGGTCATTGATTTTGCTTCACAAGTTTACAACCTTTTGGGATAAATCTTTATTTGTCTTCAAAGTTTGCTAAAGACTAGTTCGATTTTCCTTTAACTCAACCTTTAGTTTATCAATGTCATTTGGGTTGACAATGGTCTTGCATAGGTCGACCCTAAGATGCTGAGCGATTACCTAAGAATGGGCTTGTAGATCGTATAAAGCAACTAAGGCAACCTCGAAACTTGTTTTCTTTAAGGCTTCCTGGTTGGCGAAGGAGAAAGCCATCATGTCCATAATAGACAAAAGGTCAAAATCCTTGTTGAAGGTGTTAATGTCGATGGTCAGAGTACCTTTATTTGGCCTCAATTTTTTGTGCGGTTAAGAACCATCAGGTCTTTTTTCTTTATGCTTTTCTTGGTGGGTATGTTGAGAGGGATAAAGAAAAGGTTATTTTTAGGGTGAACCCCTTTGAATTTGAGGAGGCTAGGAAGAAGTTCCTTGGTGATTCCAAGCAGAAGGTTGACCCGTATCTAGGTTCTCGGGTGTTGGGTTCCTTTATGCCAGGATGACCAGTGCCTTATTGTCGACAGGATTTGCAATTGCTGCCCTTAGGGTTTTCCAATCAAAGTTCATGTTTTGGGCCATGAATGCTAAAATAAGGAAAAATTGTCAATTTGTGGAGGTAAAAATGGTAAACATTCAAATAAGTTAAACATGTGCGTCGCCACGAATCAGACACTTACTCTTAAATTTTTCTACAACATTTTTTAAAGCGGAGATCCTCAGGATATTCTTTTTTTTTTACAGAGGTAACAGAAAGTGTTAATTCTTCTTGCTCTTGAGAACTCATGCTTTCTCTAACTCCCAATTTTTTAACTTCAAAGGTTTTTGGGTCCTATAAAAAGGAAATTTTGGGAGTCGAGTTATCATCGTCCTCAGGAACTAGGTCCATGAAAGATGATGCACACTTCACAATGGGTAAAATTTTAAAGAATCCGTATTTAAATTTTTTGAATGATGTTGTGTAGGGCTTAAATAATATGCCAAGGGAATGACTTATCAAGGAAAGCCACCCCGAAGAGGTATACCTGACCTAGTCTCATAGAAATCGAGGAAGAGAGGCATGGTGGGGATCATATCAATAGTGTTACATAAAAAAGTGAAATGCTTGCAAATAAGCCCAACTATTGGAATGAAGTTGTGTATGTGCAATGTTGAGGGTCGAAACACCCTTATAGTAAAATCGTCAAAAGGAAGCCAAACCTTCAAAGGCTTGAAGAAACATTCATACACAAAGAAGAAACATGCTTCATCGTTATCCCTCCCAGCATATTCGATCCTTGACTAGCAGCCTTTGAACCTCTATTAAATCCCCCTTTCCGACCTCCATGATATTGGTGTGTTGAAGAAAGTGGATGAGTAAAGATTCATTTATAAATTTAGAAGTATAGTCAAATACTTTATCTAAAACCAGGTCGAATATTCATGGTTTTCCATTACAAAACTCACTTAGGTGTTTGAAGTCACCATGAGGTTTGGATTTTCAGCATGGCGAGAACCATCTCGATTCTTGTCTTCATCCCCATCAATGTTAAGGGGTACCTCGGCAAGTAAAAGAGGTTTTACCCTAAAAGAAGTGATTAAAGCGTTAGGGGTTTTGAAATAGGAGGTGGAATTTCTAGAAGAAGATGAAGATGTAGATGTAGATGTAGAGGATGATGAAGAAAAACTAGAAATAACATTAACCTCTTATTTACGGTGAAACTCGGTTTATGGATTCTTTTTAGTCGAACTAGCACGACACGCGTTTCAATTTAGGTATGTTTCGCTTTGAGATATTTAGAGTATAACGAGATGGAGTAGAAGGATTTAAAAGCTACTTGTTTCCAAATATTCATCAATGACCAACAAGTAATAAAATTCATGAAAGTAAATCCTTAAATAAACAGAATGAACGATAGATACATTTGCAATACAGATCATGGTTCACTTGCATAATTAACAGGAGTTACAATGTCAGAATACTAGAACTACGTAATCACAGGAAATAAGAAGAACGAACTATGCTAAAAATACCCCTAAAAAGAGAAAAGAAGTGTGGTCGAGAAGAAATCATACCCAAAAACAATTCTATGCACGAAAGCCATATGCGCAGGCAGAGAGTGCTTCAGAGTATAGTCTTAGTATGAGTTTTCCGACCTCGTAAAAGGCCAACTTTTGCCTATTTATAGAAATTTTCGAGAACAGTTTTCTTTTGCGTGCATGCGTCGTGGGTGGATAACTGCTCTCCATATCAGATACGTGCTTATAACTTCCAATAACTGCTTATCACACGTGTCTTTATCTCTTTGATTTATCCTTTAGTAACCGCTCTGGCATATCTACCTAATTGTTTTGGGCTAGTCTCAGGAAACCTTCATCTATTTTCGAGTAGTCCTTATTTTTGTTCGACCATACCTCGAGCACAAACAAATAGGGCTTGTCATGCGTTCTCAACATGTGTTTGATTTGACGTTTATATTTCTCTCGAGTAGCACTATCAATCCAACTTTTCGACTCCCATAATTTCGAGCAGCCCTAACACCTCCATACCACCAAATAACGGAGACTCAATACTATCACTATAACTCATAAAGGAAGGGAAGAAGGCGTACTTAGTGTAGGTACTCAATTTTTGAAGGCTGAAAGACTTGGGTACTTGATGTGTTTAAGAATCAGTGCGTGTTTGGATGTGCGTTGCCCTAATGCAACGCGCGTATTTCCTTCCGCAAACGCAATTAGTCTCTGTGAAAGCATGTTTGGATGTTTCTTCTTCACATGATTCCATCAACGAAAATCAATTTTGGCTGAAGCGCGATGAAGATTGCTTCTACGTTTTCAGGAAATTGATTTTGGTAAGTGGATATTTGATTTTCCTCATTTGTCCTCATGAAACTTCAATGTTCCCTTTCTCCTCACCTAATTCATAAATGTTCTGATTCTTCTCATCAATTTTATTTTCATCGATTTAGGGTTCTTTCCTCCTTGTGTAATGTTCTGATTCTTCTCATCAATTTTATTTTCACCGATTTAGGATTTTTTTCCTCCTTGCGTGTGTACATGTTGCACCTGTGAACCAGAAATTTTATTGGGCATTTATTTTGTACTTCAATGCTAACCAACAACCTCTCCAAGTTGTAACTTTTATTTAAGTTGCATTTTGATGGATTGTGCGTTCATGCTCTATGAATCTGTTGGTGTGGCTGGTATAAAATCTGTTGGTTTGAAAAACTATGAAACTTACGGGATTCCAATTTCAGACTTGCGGAAAGATAGGAAAGCCGTTGTAGCATTTGCACGTCACTTTGGGTGATTGCGATTTTATCATATTTACTGCACAAATTAACTTACTAGTTATTGTTTGAGTTTGTTTAACAATCACTTGTGCTCCTTTTTTTTTTCTCTGTACATTTACAGGTGCGTGTTGTGCCGTAAAAGGGCAGATTATCTTGCATCCAAGAAGGTAAAGTTTTCTGCCGTTGTCATTTTTCTTCTCTCCTGTTCTCAAAAATACTTATAAACTTGTATTCAAACAGACTTTAAATTACTATGTTCTTACAAGCTTTCAGCTTGAAGTTTTCGCAAGAGGAATCCTATATCATCTTTCTTATTTCATGGTAAATGTTTCTATTTCACTAAAAGTCTATTGCCTCCTAACATGGATGTGTTCTATCGACAGGATATACTGGATGCATCTGGTGTAGCACTTGTATTGATTGGACCTGGGAGCATTGATCAGGTATATCAGACTTGTATTGATGTGTTCTATCGGGTTTACTGCAAATGCTACTATGAATCTGTTGGTGTGGCTGGTATAAATTTTAAGTTGCATTTAAGTATTAATTTTAGCTACTATTTGCTAAGTTATATTTTGTTAAACCTTTTAATGTAGAAGTATGGGTTCTGAGAAAGAAAAAGTTTGCTGGGATCTTAAAGCAACTGAATGTTTTATCATAGATTTAGGTTTAGGGAGTTGTTCTTATAGATTTAGGTGTGTCTATTAAGTTAACAATTAACTAAGGTCTATTTTAGTAATTATACACTTAAAATCAATTTTGATAACTATTTTCCAAACATCATTTAATATGAAAATCAATTTTCTAATAAATGTATTCAAACAAAAATCACGTTAATTTAAAATCACGTTTACTTAAAATCAATTATACAAAATCACGTTAATCTCAAATCAATTTTACAAACGCAAATCCAAACACGCACTCAGAGGTTGTAGGTAAAGTTATATCAAAGCAAAGTGACCCTATTTAAAGGAATAATATACCCAAAGAAATAAAGTGTTGTATCTTCTAACCATTAGATAGTTTCAAGATCAACGGTTCAAAGGGGCGTGACCTTTCGTGTTTCGACAGATGTTTCACGCTTACCTAGAGTTTCTAAAACTTTCGTAGGATTCTTGACATACCATCATTGCATGATGTCTTTTCCAAAAGCACGAGAATATTTGAAAGGCAACAATTTTTGAATTGTTACTAAGTTGTTAAATGCTTTGAAGTTAATTAAATTCTTCACCCATTCGTCGAAGACTTGGGGACTTGTGTATTGGAGAGATCTCGAGGTCGATAGCATGTCGATTCCAAGCACAAATCAAAAGAAAATACTACATGTATCCAACATCTGACATTATGACCCATCTGAGAAACCAGGTATAACTCGACCTTGATGAAGGCACCATAAAGTAATGCTCGACTATTATGAAATAATAAAAACTCTTAAATATACTTAATGAGCAAAGCATCACGTTAACTTTTCTTTATAAAATATATCTGTATCAGATCTTTATGAGGCATAAAAAAATACATAATTTATTATATAATTCTAAATACTCGCTAACTTTGGCATCGGAGTCTTTTGCAGGTACAACCCACCTAATCTTCAAAGGTCGAGGATCAAGAAGTTCAGGACCAATAAGCCGAGAACCATGGATAACCAATTGAAGATTTCTTGCATCCATTTTTCAGCAAGAACACATGTATTGCTACATGTCATATGGAGATTCAGTAGGACGATATGTGGAGGCCCAAGCCCAACCATGCAATAATTTCTCCAGAGAAGGTTAGGAAATTAAACTAGAGCAAGAGAAATCGATCACGTGCTGGGCGAAAAAAGTCGTCATATTTGACTAAGTAGTAACCGACCACGAGGAACCAACCTGTCATGGATTATGATAAGATCATAAGATTAAGATTAGCTGAATATCCATATGATCTGTGTTTGACCAAGTAACCTTCCATTCAATGGGAGCTTTTTCTTTCAAGATTATTGTTCTCGTTGCTTACATGCTTGTTCCTTCTCTCAAAATATCCGCAGCTACACTCAACGTGTCACAGTCTATCAGTGATGGCGAGAATATAGTGTCGAACAATAGAGTGTTTGAGCTTGGTTTCTTCAGCCCGGGTAATTCCACAAATCGTTACCTCGGAATTTGGTATAAAGTTATACCTATTCAACGAGTTGTTTGGGTGGCAAACCGGGGTAACCCGATCAATGATACCTCAGGCATGTTAACATTCACTACCACGGGCAATCTTGAGCTAAGACAAAATGATTCTGTTGTTTGGGTTACAACCTATCAAAAACAATCACAGCATCCAGTGGTGGAGCTCTTGGACAGTGGCAATCTTGTGATAAGAAATGAAGGAGACACGGACACAGAAGGTTACTTGTGGCAAAGCTTTGACTATCCTTCTGATACACTCTTGCCGGAGATGAAGTTGGGTTGGGACCTCAGAACCGGTTTGGAACGGATAATAACCTCTTGGAAGAGTCCATATGATCCTTCTCCAGGGAATTTTTCATGGCGTCTGATGCTGTATAACTACCCAGAGTTTTATCTGATGAAAGAGACACAAAAGTTTCACCGCATCGGGCCATGGAACGGACTTCACTTCAGCGGCGTGGCGAACCAAACATCAAATCAGTTTTACGAGTTCAAGTACACCGCTCAGAACGACGCCGTGTACGCCTCCAACAAGGCCGAGATGTTCTACTCGTTTACTCTCAAGAACAGTTCGGTCTTCGTGAGAGTCACCGTGGTCGAGGGCAGTTTCCAAACCTATGTTTGGGACGAAGACAAGACGCAATGGGAGCTTTATGAGTCCACCCCGCGTGACCAGTGTGATTTGTATGGGCTCTGTGGAGCCAACGGGAATTGCAAGATTACTACCTCACCGTTATGCCAATGTTTGGAAGGGTTCATTCCAAAGTCTCCACGGGAATGGAACGCGGGGAATTGGAGTCAAGGATGCATCCGTGTTGAACCGTTACGGTGCCAAGATAGTAGTAACATGGATGGGTTTGTCAAACATGTTGGCCTCAAAGTGCCGGATACTACAAATACTTGGGTGGATGAGAATCTTGATTTAGATGAATGCAGAAACAAATGCTTGAATAATTGCTCTTGCATGGCGTATACTAATTCATACATAGGAGGTGGAGGTAGTGGTTGTGTCGTTTGGTTTGGCGATTTAATTGACTTAAGACAGTTTGAAACTGGCGGAGGTCAAACTCTCTATATCCGGTTACCTTCTGCAACGTTAGGTAAAAGACTAATCTTTCTTCTTAACACTTCAATCATTCATTCTTGTTATTTTTGGGAAAGTGCAAGAATTATTGTCTGCTGCAAGCTTTTTTTTTTTTTCTATAGATATAATCCACGCAGTGCTCCAAAATTAAATACTAAAGACTAATCTACTTCTGCTGCAAGTTTGAAACTGATGATTATATTTCATGTTTTGTTTTTTTTGTATGATCAACGACAACCATGAAGAGCCTCTTTCCCAACATGGACACAACAAAAGGTTTAAGATAATAATTGGTGCCATAGTTGCTGCAGTCAGTGGGATGCTTTTGTTTTGCATTATTGTCATATACAGAGTTCGCAGGAACCAAGCCGGTAAATTATTTACCCATATTATTGTCTCTAAATCGTGGCACCCTTTTTCTATAAACATACATCTTTCTATTTATTTTATGTTTCCTTCACGAACTGAATGCTGCATATTTGTATAATTAAATCAGTTCTTGTCCATTCTCATGTTACATAATAGTGCTGAATGTTTTATTCCTTTCTTCTTTGGTCTAGAAAAGTCAAAGACAAAAGAGAACATAGAAAGACAGATGGCAGATCTAGATCTGCCATTGTTTGATCTGCTAACGATCATTACTGCCACTGGCAATTTCTCATTGAATAATAAGATTGGACAAGGTGGTTTTGGACCAGTATATAAGGTAATTCAATATTTGAGTATTTAAGAAAGTAAGAACAGCTAGAGATAAGAGATGAATTATTGTTATAAAAAGCATCTTCTCAAATGAATGCAATTATGCAGGGAAAATTAGCAGATGGATCAGAAATTGCTGTCAAGAGACTTTCAAGCAGCTCTGGACAAGGAATAACCGAGTTCATAACAGAAGTAAAACTGATTGCAAAACTTCAACACCGAAATCTTGTAAAGCTTCTTGGTTGTTGCATTCACGGAGAGGAGAAAATACTAACATATGAATACATGGTTAATGGAAGCCTAGACTCCTTCATTTTTGGTATGCAATATGAAGAATACATAAATTAGATGCACTAGTGTTGTCTTACTTTAGACATGTAGCGGCTTATTAATCTTCAATATCTAACAGATCAAATGAAAGGTAAACTTTTGGATTGGCCCCGACGGTTTCAAATAATATTTGGAGTTGCTAGAGGACTTTTGTATCTTCATCAAGATTCCCGATTAAGGATTATTCACAGAGATCTCAAAGCAAGTAACGTTTTGCTTGATGAAAAGTTAAATCCAAAAATATCAGATTTTGGAATGGCAAGAGCTTTCGGAGGAGACCAAATAGAAGGAAACACAAATAGAGTTGTTGGGACTTAGTGAGTATATGCCTAACTATATCTTACCATATTTATTAGTTTATACTTTATTTATTTATTTTTCTGTAATGTAAATTTCTGCTCTAATTACTTCTTGTAGTGGATACATGGCTCCAGAGTATGCTGTTGATGGGCTATTTTCAATCAAGTCAGATGTTTTCAGCTTTGGTATTTTGTTGTTGGAGATTGTATGTGGGAATAAAAATAGAGCTCTCTGTCATGGAAACCAGACTCTTAACCTTGTTGGTTATGTAAGCACTCAAATAATTTAATGTTTTTCTATGCCAAAGTTTAAACATAATAAACCCATTCTTACTTCTTTTATGTTTTAGGCATGGAAACTTTGGAAAGAGCAAAATGCTTCACAATTAATAGACTCAAACATAAAGGACTCATGTGTTATCCCAGAAGTTCTGCGATGCATCCATATTAGTCTCTTGTGCGTGCAACAATACCCAGAGGATAGGCCAACCATGACCTCGGTAATTCAAATGCTAGGGAGTGAGATGGAACTAGTTGAGCCAAAAGAGCCAGGTTTCTTTCCAAGGAGGATTTCGGATGAAGGAAATTTAAATTCAAATAAAGGAAATTTAGATTCAAATCTAAATGAAAGTACTTCAAATGATGAATTAACCATTACCTCGTTAAATGGCCGGTGAAAATCATGAAGTCAGCTATATATGGCTCTGATGTACATTTTGCCTTGCAAGTACACTCACTACCAAAGCAATGTTGTTTCAAAACCTGTTCTTTTTTTCTTTTTTTTTTTTCCTGATGTATTTAGTGTATTTGCATGATTACTACTAAAATTTAATCACAAAGATTTTAAAAGTGATATTATTTTTTTCCTATTTAACGACATCCTGTTCTACAATAAGAAGTTCGTAAAAGATTCATGTAGTACTAAAGGATTCACTCTGTCCATGTGGACTTCATCACTACGTTGGAGGACCTTTGCCTCAAACTCCATTGTTATAATTTTAGGTGACTAAGGTAGAATTGGTTAAGCACAGAAAACTTTGTTCTGTTTTCTAATAGGACTTGATGAAGGGAATTCAAAATCAAAGGAAAAGGAAATACTTTAATTGATGAATTAACCACCACCTCATTAAATGGCCAGTGATATCTTATGCTTGATTTAACAAACCTCTTAAGCAACTCCGTGTTTGATCTTATTTGCAACTTGATATTGAATGTTGCACTTTCATTCTTGTCCTAAGTTTTCATGTTGAATTTCAAGCTTACTTCCTTGTTCGTGGCAAGAACAATACCGTACATCAATATACCCCTTCAGAAATCAATTTATTTTAGCAAATCTGAAATTTAGATATAAAAAATCAAGTCATCAAGTGACAGAATTGAAAACAATATGTGGATATAGCCTGACATGATATGAATGTAGATAAATTGGTTATATAACCACATCATAGAAGATTAATGTTGAGATACATTATAACCTCATCTACCAATATCAGTATGTCTCTTTGACCATTGGTTTCCAGTAGCAAGTTCAGAAGAATCATAGAAAAAACAGTTGAAATGAGAACTAGAGGCTCCTATAGACTATCCATATCCACCAGTAAATTCATCTTATTCATTCATTACCAAAAAGTTGGATTCAATCCATGCATCCATTTAATTTTGTAGATGATTAGTGACAAATCTACTATTTTTTCAAAATTTATTGGATTACTTTAAGGGAACTGTATTAACTTCATTTTGTTTTTCATGATTAAAGAACGTCCTGGGGAAATAACTCTATGCAATCATCCTATGGCTCTCAAAGATGTAGGAAGTTTTGCTTGAGACTGGAACCACAGAAGAGCAGGGTTACCAAATTTTTGACCATGGTTGATAAGAGTCGTTTATCATTCTACTCATGCTTAGGTGCTTTAGCAATGAACCCAGGAATTTTGACAAGTCCACATCCATTGATAAAATGCCATCAGTAGGTCTAACTTTTAAAAAATAATTAAAAGTTTGAATTTTCAAGTATGACGATGGAGTAAAGACTTCGATTTTCAAAGTCAAACTAGAGAAAAATTTAGATTATACTGTAGGACCTACTAATATATGCTTTGACCAATCTCACGAGACATTAAAAAATAGCCAATTCAGTAAAGAAAAAAGAGTAAAAATGTTGTCAGCTGTCATGTAGTGATTGAGTTGAAACATTGTTAACTAGCAAAGACATTGGAAGTTATAGCAAAGAAGTCACTTATGGTTGGTTCTAAATTAACGCGTAGGTAGGTTTGAATAAGTAGGAAAGAGGAACCATTCTGTATTGTGCGCTTATGAATTATGATATGCTTGCTGAATATGAATGCATATCAGCAGTGTCCAAATAACCTTCTATTCAATGGATTTTTTTTCTTTCATGATTATTGTTACTTATATGGTTCTTCCCTCTCTCAAATTTTCCGCAGCTATAGACAGTGTGTCACAGACACAGTCTATAAGTGACGGCAAGACCTTAGTGTCCAAAGGTGGAGTGTTTGAGCTTGGTTTCTTCAGTCCAGGTAGCACCACAAAACGTTACCTAGGAATTTGGTATAAAAATATTCATACTGACAGAGTTGTCTGGGTGGCAAACCCGGCAAACCCGATCAACGATTCCTCGGGAATCTTGACATTACCAGCACAGGTAGTCTTGAACTCAGACAAAATGATTCTGTTGTTTGGTCAACAACGTATCAAAAACAAGCACAGAATCCAGTGGCACAGATTTTGGACAGTGGAAATCTTGTGATAAGAAACGAGGGAGACACAAAGCCAGACACGTACCTGTGGCAAAGCTTTGACTATCCTTCTGATACACTTTTGCCTGGGATGAAGTTGGGATGGAACCTCCAAACTGGTCACGAAATGAAAATAACGTCTTGGAAGAGTCCAAATGACCCATCTCCGGGAGATTTTTCTTGGGGTCTAAAGCTCTATACTTATCCTGACTTTTATCTCATGAACCGAAACCAAAAGTACTATCGCACCGGACCATGGAATGGAGTTAAATTTAGCGGCGTATCAAATCAAAACGCAAATATGTTGTACGAATTCAACTACGTCTCTACAAATGATCCCATGTACAACTCCAATAAGGTTGAGATGTTCTACTCGTATACCGTGAAGAATAGTTCTGTCAACATGAGAGTCAAAATAAACGAAAGCAGATTCGAAACATTGGTTTGGATTGAGCAGGAGCAAATATGGGCAGTGTTTACAAGTACTCCTGTTGACATTTGTGATACGTTTGCACTCTGTGGAGCCTTCGGGTTTTGCAGGGTTACGGATTCACCACCATGCCATTGCTTAGAAGGATTCAGACCAAAGTCATCACAAGAATGGAGTGCAAATGATTGGAGCCAAGGATGTGTACGGCATAAATCATTAAACTGCAAAGACGATGTGTTTGTGAAATACTCAGGCCTCAAAGTACCAGAGACTTCACGTACTTGGATGGACGAGGATACCGATTTAGAGGGATGCAAATCCATATGTTTGAATAATTGCTCTTGCATGGCTTTTACTAATTCGGACATAAGAGGAGCAGGTAGTGGTTGTGTCATTTGGTTTGACGATTTAGTTGACATGAGACAGTTTGAAACTGGAGGGCAAGATCTATATATCCGGATGGCTGCTTCGGCGTTTGGTAAACACTGTTAATCTTTCTCCATCCATAATACTTTCATCATTCTTAATGTTTTGGAAAATTCAGTACCATTTGATAAATATAAGGATTTAATTTCATGTTCTTGTTTGTTTGTTTATTTGTTTGATCAATGTAGAGCAACATGGGCACAACAAAAGTGTGACGATAATAATTGCTACCACAATTGCAGCTGTTAGTGGCTTACTTTTATTTTGTGTTTTCGTCATATACAGAGTCCGAAGGAACATTGCTGGTAAAATTCGACCATATGTTATTATTTTGTCCTTAAAACATGGCAGATCTTTTCTAATTCTTTGTATACCTTTTTAAATCGATAATTGGAAGCACTTGTAGTGTAGTCATATATAGCTTAGGGAATTTGAAGCCAGGTCGCTTTTTAACATGGGCATGTCATGAGTTTAATGACCAGAGTCTCAAATTGCAACAGATTAATGGAATTGAGTTTACACCATATATTTTCTGTTTCCTTCTCTAATTGGATATTGCATATTTATGTATCTAAACCAGTTTCAATCCCTTCTTGTGTTTAATAATAATACTGAATGCTTTATTCCTTTCTTCCGTTGTCTAGATAAAGAGAACATCCAAAGACAGCTAGAAGATCTAGATCTGCCATTGTTTGATCTGCTAACAATCACTGCGGCCACTAACAATTTCTCGTCAATTCATAAAATTGGACAAGGAGGTTTTGGATCTGTGTACAAGGTATTTTAATATTTAAGCACCTAAGATAAAAACAAATAACTGGAGTCCAGAGATGAATTATTGTTATTACAAGAATCTACTCAAGTCAATGCAATTATGCAGGGACAATTAGGAAATGGGCAAGAAATTGCTGTAAAGAGACTTTCAAGCAGTTATGGACAAGGAATAACTGAGTTTATAACAGAAGTAAAACTGATTGCAAAACTTCAACACCGAAATCTTGTAAAGCTTCTTGGCTGTTGCATTAAAGGACAAGAGAAGTTGCTAGTATATGAATACATGGTTAATGGCAGTCTAGACTCTTCCATTTTTGGTATGTAATATGAAGAATGTTTAGATTAGGTGCACTTGCAGTTTTTCTTTAACCCTAATTACATTTATTGGCTTATTTAATCTTGAACATCTTATATTGAATAACATATTTTACTTGTATTAAAACAGATCAAATAAAAGGTAAATTTCTGGTTTGGCCTCGACGTTTCCAAATAATATTTGGAATAGCTAGGGGACTTTTGTATCTTCATCAAGATTCCCGACTAAGGATTATTCATAGAGATCTCAAAGCAAGTAATGTTTTACTCGACGAAAAATTAAATCAAAAAATATCAGATTTTGGGATAGCTAGAGCTTTTGGAGGTGACCAAACAGAAGGAAACACAAACAGAGTAGTTGGGACTTAGTGAGTGACTATCTAACTATATTGCAACACATTTATTAGTTTATTTATTTTATTTAATTATTTTTAAGTCATGCAAAATTTTGCTTAAATTATTTCTTGTAGTGGATATATGGCTCCAGAGTATGCTGTTGATGGGATATTTTCCATCAAATCTGATGTTTTTAGCTTTGGTATTTTATTATTGGAGATTATATGTGGGACCAAAAATAGAGCTCTTTGTCATGGAAACCAGACTCTTAACCTTGTCGGTTATGTAAACACTCATGTGATTTATTATCTATCTTTGCCCATGTTGAAACATGAATAATTAAATTTTTCTCTTTTTTTTCAGGCATGGACACTTTGGAAAGAGCAAAATGCTTTGCAGTTGATAGACTCAAGCATAAAGGACTCGTGTGTCATCCCAGAAGTACTGCGATGCATTCATATTAGTCTCTTGTGCGTGCAACAATACCCGGAGGATAGGCCAACAATGACCTCGGTAATTCAAATGTTGGGAAGTGAGATGGATTTGGTCGAGCCAAAAGAGCCTGGTTTCTTTCAAAGGAAAATTTCAGATGAGGGAAATTTAAGCACAAATTTAAACCAAATGAATTCAAATAATGAACTAAGCATTACCTCATTAAATGGCCGGTGAAAATTATTTGTTTCATCTGAATATATTTCACCGTCTCACAATTTGCATTGCAAGGACATTCACTGCCAAAGGATTTTTGTTT